TTGCCTTCAATGACAAATTTACCGAATTAAAATATCATTCATTTTAACTCAATTTAAAATATTTTCCATTAAAATTAGATTACCATGTACAAATACATCCATTCTATAAAAACTTAACACTCTGGTGTCGTTTTTAAAAGGAACGTAAAACACTTTTACATCTTACGATATTAAATTATCTAACATATGAATAATAACACATAACATTATATCAAAATAATGATTTGTGTGTGTTGAACTCGTTTTAACTTAATTTGTTTCATAATATCTAAATATTTTTTTAATAATCATAATTATTTCCTTAAAAAAAGGATAATTGAATTATCTAATCCTATGTCAAAGACCCATTGTCATTCGCCACTAGAATGAAGGTTAAATATTTTGTAGAAAGTAGAATTGAAGAAGAAAGAAAGACTTTTATTTTTGGGGGGGAAAGATCGATGAAGACAGAAGAGTGAGATGGTGCAGGCCAATAAAAAAGGCCAAACATTAGTTTCCTTCCTTTTCTCTCCGATTTGGAGGGATGGCCCAAACAGTATTTTTTTCTTTTCAGTCCCCTCCCTTCCTACTATTCTTTCTTTCGCAAACGGAGGAAAATGCATTGGGAATGCAATTTCCCTCCCAATCCTTTTCCTCCCTCCCTTTCCCCTCCTACAAGAACAGAGGGTTAGGGAAAATTTTAAATTCCTGAACCACAATTTAATTTAGTGATTGACATATCTTATTTACGCAAAATATTTTTGAATTGTCGACCGATCTCATTTGACCACAAGGAAATAACACATATTTTTGCAGTTTTTCAGTGGTTTGTGTTGGAGATGGAGGCCAAGGATATACTGCAAGAGAGGCTGGAAGTCAAGAACAGAATCTGTGGCAGAAAGATTGAAGTCTGGCGCCAAATCAGTGTTCCAATCATAGAGTCTGTCTGTCTTAGTTGATTGCTTTGGTATGATGTTAGTGTAATGGAGTTGGCGGTTAGATAAAATTAGGGGGTGCAAACAATCAATTTATCTTTCCAGTTGCTTTATGCTCTATCCTGTTAAGTGGATGTCCCAAATGGAAGGGAACTTGGAATGATGGAAGGGAACTTGGAATGATGGTAATGTTGGAGAAAAGAAGTTGTAGTTGAAGTCTTCTTCACCTTTTCATGGACAGTGTTCGCATTAAACATAACACCAATATCATGCAAATTTTAGCCAAAGTGTTTATGGGTTTTTTTAATAATGAATTGGGTGTTGATCGCGATGCATGCAGGTTCTAAGTAGCTGGCTAAAATTTTGATTTGAGTGAGTACCCAGAAATTAGCGATTTTTAGTATATTTATCCATCTATTGCAATATTTAATTTGTGGTTGAATCTTGATTTAGGTAAATCCGCAGTGATTACATCTTTCATGTACATTCACCATAGCACAAGAAGTATGAGCAGATTCTTTGAATGATACAGTGGACTTTCTTTGGCAATACATAAACAGACAACAAAATTGTGTGAGTTCGTCAGAGAAGGCGAGCTCTTTGCCAAGCTCTGGAAAAGTGGTCAACGAGGACCTGCCAAGGAAGTACTCCAACCAGCAGAACTCCTTCTTCAGGTACTGGTCGTGTCGAGACGTGTCCCAGCCTTTCTACATGCCTGCCACCACCTTCACCATGTACCCTTCATGCCAGTGTGTTGCCATGACCAATACCTCCACCGCTTTCGCCGCTCCCGCCTCCACCTCCGCCATCCCAATCACCAACGTGGCATCTGTTGCAACAGACGGCACCAACAATTCATCAACAACGTTTTCTTTGGCTAAACCTGCGGTGGCGGTGAAAGTAATGGTGACAGCAGTAGTAGTAGGAATATGCATCCATGTGTGCAGCAACTTCACAGCAACAACCTAAACCTATCCAACCAGTCACATCATGACTTAAAAAAGCAAGGATACAGCTCCTGAGAAACCAGATGAAATGGATAGGGAGAATAACAATGATGCAGGCCATTCCATTAAAAATTATGCAGCTATAGAAGAAACAAGTAGAACAAAAATATGAATAAAAGAGCACCTACCGGCTCGAGAGAGGAAGAAAATTGTGAGAATCCCCTTCAAAGCTAGGACCGGTTTTATAGGAATGAAAAAGGACAACTATTTTGTGGTACAAGCACGTGAAATGGCATTAACGTCAGCAATAATACATGTACTGCAAAACAACAGTGCACAACAACGATGTGACACTCCTTTCATTTAATATTATTAGCAGAATGTATTCCAAAAATTATTAGTAGAATTTATTTTTAAGGAGAACTCTTCTTTCATTTTTGGGTTTATACAACATATTAAACATTACAATGTTTCCGAGAGTTTGTAAATTTAGTTTACAGATGACTTTGTTTGAAACAATGATTGTGAAACGGTATTGAAAGTTATACCACAAAAGTTAGTGGTAAGGTATTTTGTACTAAAATCATGATTGAAACTGTGTTTCAACCATTTTGTACCACTAAAACCGCTTACTATTTGGAGTCCGGTATTTTCAGTCCGACCTTCAGGTATAGTACGATTTCTAACACATTGGTTTAAAGTAATCAATCTACTATTCAACTGCTACAACTTTTCATGTGCCTACAATATATCATAAATATATTCTATTAATTATTAATAGAAAATATTTACCAAGAATATATAATTTTTCAGAGCGTGTGCTATAAGTTCGGAATTGATAGCTAAAATTTCGTGTCAAGAAAAGAATCGTGGATGATGTGTCAATTGCCTAGAATTCAGATAAACAAAAATTATCCAGAGATCAGACATCTGTGCTAAGAATCATATGATAGACTAAGTCAATGATCAATAAACGTTGGTTGAGAGTCACTCCTAATTTTGAGAATCATGAGTTAAGGTATATTGTATAAGATAATAAACTTAAGTATTATGTTTGATAAATCGAGGCATAATGCCTTACATAGAGAGTTTACAAACCTACATATCGGAGATGTCAAGATTAAATAAATGAACGATCATGAGTGGATATGATATATATGTTGTTTATGAAAATTGAAAACTATCAAAATAGTGATTGATGGTTGAGTATTTTCATTGAGAACCGAGTCTATACTCCGTCTATATATGTCTTATAAACCTACATGAAAGTATACTCAAGAGACAATGAATATTTAATTGTAGGATTTTACGATAAAACAAACCATTTTAGTATGACCATCAATAATAAATCTGCTCAGTTTATAATCACTATAATTATTTTGATTATTTGAAATTAAAAAATTATTGTTTGTCATATTTTTCATAAGTTAATTCACATAAGTCAAAGTGGAAGAGAATTGATCAACCATTGACAAAATTAGCAAGACCAAATATGATTTTTATATAAGTTGAAAGCGTAAAGAGATCCAACTAAAGCTTTTCGAGCATATGATTCACTAAACTTGCATTTTAAAATTACATGCATTATTTAAACTATGATTCCGGGCATAATGTACAATTTGGGTACAAGTGATTGATTGTGAAGGTTATTCCATGTGTAGGACAATAAATGTCAATATGACAAATGTTGATGATCCTCTTATCATAATATTTATATGTTATATAATAGTAAAAAATATATATGACATCTATCAGCTAAATATTTGTTAATTAATGGATAACCAAATTCGCAAATGAAAGCCCTTCTCATTTGTAGCTACCTTGCCATTGTTGAATCTACAAATTTGGGAATTAATGACTTCGCGTCAAGGTGAAATTCATGTAATTTGAATCTATGTATTTTGTTGTAGGTTATAAGTCAGGAGTTTCAAAAAAATGGTATTACAATAAAAAAAACATCGGTAATAAAAGTGATGCATATGCACCACATTCTCTAATGAGAGTCAAAGCTGAAACCCAACCACCAATCAATACCAAAATATTGTAAGAGCTCAACGAAGTGGAGCAATGATTAGAGAGGAGGTATATATCAGTTGCAATTTGAAGACTCATTAACAATAAAATGCTAACCCTTTTCAAAGTGAGGAACGAGTGGTGTTATGTTCAATGCGAACACTGTCCATGAAAAGGTGAGGAAGACTTTGACGAGTACCTTGATAAGCTATTGCTATTTTAATCATGATCTGGGTGTTGATCGCGATGCATGCAGGTTCTAATTAGCTGGCTAACATTTTGTTTTGAGTGAGTACCCAGAAATTAGCGATTTTTAGTATATTTATCCATCTATTGCAATATTTAATTTGTGGTTGAATCTTGATTTAGGTAAATCCGCAATGATTACATCTTTCATGTACATTCACCATAGCATAAGAAGTATGAGCGGATTCTTTGAATGATACAGTGGACTTTCTTTGGCAATACATAAACAGACAACAAAATTGTGTGAGTTCGTCGAAGAAGGCGAGCTCTTCGCCAAGCTCTGGAAAAGTGGTCAACGAGCTATGGGTATGGATACCTATTTATTCGAGGGTGTGTACTTCAAAAGTTTAAGTACCAAAATGTAATACACAAAAATTTTAGATATTAAAATGTAATGTTCCATCAATATTTTGAGGACTTATATGCCAAAAAATTAAATTTAGGTTATAAATCTAAAGATCTATTAAGTTTAGGTACCTTACTGTAATTTGCATAGTTAGGCTTAATTCCTTTTATGGTGATGTAATTAAGATGATAATTATTTACTTTTTCTATAGAAAACAGGAAAATATTTAGTGTTAATTGTCCAAAACTGCTAAAAAATTTCGGTTAATTCGTGCTCTAAATAGTAAAACTCGACGGGCGTACAATGTACAACTGACATACGCTAGCCTGAACTATATATATATGCGCACACAAATATACAAAGTATGTACTTATTTGACATGTTTATAGAGACAACTATCTTTTTTTATTCTAATTCTTCGAATACTTCTCTGTATACAATGTTTCTAGTGAGGCCTCGATTTGTGGCGTTAGTGTTTGTCACGGCTATGTGTAATCCTCTGGCAGATCGCACCCGAGATATGGCTATGTATAATTATCCATGGCTGAACACTGGCCTGGTTAGTAGCACGCCTATCTGTTCAAGTGTTTGTCCCTTACTTTTATTTATTGTCATTGCGTAGCACAAACGTATTGGAAAATGTCGGCGTCTGAGTGTGAAAGGCCATCGACGATCGGTGATTTCAAGTACTATTCTTGGTATCGCTACTGGTGTTCCCTCGATAATCAGACCGCATATTACGTTCTCGCCTAGTTTTGTAACCAATATTCGTGTACCATTGCATAATCCATTTGATGGGCTGAGATTGCGAAGTAACATTACTGGGGTGAATGGCTTCAACATTATTTCATGATCTGGTGCTCCATTGAATGACAAACTGTTCAAAAACTCAGGTGGGTACTGTTCTTGAAGGATTGATGTGTTGGGGTTGTCTGATGCTAAGGTGTCCGAGCTGAAATAAGTTCTTTGTTCACCTGGAATTTCATTGAGTAAATATGATTTAATTTCAAATACCATTTGATTGGTTGGAGTCACAATTGCTCTCTCCTTGATGTAAGCAATTGATCCAAATGATGTTGGTAGGTCATGATATACACTGTTTGCGAGCTCAGAGATTGGGTTGTCTGACTCTGGTATTAGTAAGCTATGTGGAATTTGTATCCATTCGTTCTCAGTTGCCTGTTGTACTTTTTGAGAGGGAATAGTCCCGTCCCCTACTGAGAGCACCCATTATGAGAAGGTCATGTCGTTGAAGTGTGTGACTATGTTTGCAGGGTCATTGTTGATGCGCATGTTTGTGGTGAGTCTGAGTAATTTTGTATACTTCCATAGATATGATCTTGTAAGACACGCATTGAGATTAGCTTCTCGTCCCCCTTCGGTAACCACAGGCAGGGTTTGTCTAAAGTCTCCTCCGAGGACTACTGTTTTTCCTCCAAATGGTTTGTATTGTGGTCCAATTGGTAGGACGTTCATTATGTCGCAGAGTGTCCTATCTACTGCTTCATAGGATAGGCGATGTATCATTGGTGCTTCATCCCATATTATTATTGTGCAGGCATGAAGTAGTTCTGCCAATTGAGTTCCCTCTTTAATACCACATGTGGAGTAGTGGTTGACTTCTATAGGTATCTTGAAACTAGAATGTGCAGTAACTCCATCTGGCAAAAGTGTTGCCGCTATTCCTGAAGAGGCGACCACTAATGCAATCTTTCCCTCGCTTCTTATTTTAGACGTGATTGCATTGTATATATAAGTCTTTCATGTGCCTCCATGAACATAAATTAAAAATAGAGTTGATTACGCTTGCGTTGTCGAGTCTATGATTTGCTCATATGCTGTTAGTTGAGCACGGTTAAGTGATGCATGGAGCCTTCTTGCCTGCATCCTTTCATGTTGCAAGTCATAATTAGTGTGTTGTGAGATCAAGTTTTGTTCAATTTGTTGACTGGAAGCCATTGTTGGTGTTGGGAGGTTGAAGTGTGATAGACTTGTCGAGTATTGGTTCAAAATATTTTGCAAACTGTGCAATACTTCGTTAAAGAGCCCTTCTCTTGGGGGTTGTTGTTGTGGATTCTCATACAGCTGTTGGAGTCGGTGAGAAAAGTCGTCAGACATTGCTTCCCACCATCGATTTAGTAAGTCCAATGGGTTGAAAATTTGACAAAATATTAGCAAAGATATAAAAATGTTCCTGACCAAATTTGGCTGGCCCTATCTACTGACTTCTGCCATAGCTGCATTCTATTCATCATCGGTGGAGAGAAGACCCATTAATTGACATGATTCTTTATAGTTGGCACAAACTCGACCATTTATGGTGCGTAAATGGTCAAAATCAAGGGCTCCTTTAACTTTCCCCAAGTCCATCCTTAGGTAAAATACGTCTCCAGTGCTTGGAGGAACATATGTTATACGACCAACTGCAAAGCCTTCTTTTCTAGGGGTCCAAGTGGGAACATTTTCAAGCCATACATATTGGGTGGGCGTCTGAACATAGGTGAGTTTTCTTGCTGTTGAAGATCTTCGGTTGAGTGAAAACCATTGCGTTAGCATTGTTTCTCCGCCATTGGGACGATTGACAATTTCGTCTAGCAGTTGATCGGCTTTGTAAGTGATACTATGTTCTCCTGGCAAATGAACGCATAAGCGAACTACACTTGGTCTTCTCTCGTGAATTGGGTATTCAAATAATCGCCAAACAGCTTCATATGATGATAAGGATCTACAGTCAAGATATTGTGCAATCTCGTCCACTGGTTGTTGTTCCATTATGCTAGTGGATGGTTGTTCTTGCTTAGTTTGACGGTCGGCGATGATGATCTGTCGATCTGATCCTTTTGTTACGTATTTGAAGAGATATTTTATCAGTCGTCCTTTGTGGCATATTTCAATATTGATATGCACTTGATATTTGACTAATAAATCTCTATTGAATGGTACCACTGACCTGTTGTCCAAAAGTTGACCTGATTTTTCCACCGTGATGCCTGTGTTTCGCCGTTGATAGATGGCGTAACCATTCTCGTCATAAGTGGTTTCGGAAGAAAAAGCTTTTGGAAAGTATTTCTTGCATTTCCCTTCATTCATGCAAGGTGATGCTGGATTGGAGCCTCCACATGGACCGTGAATCATAAACTGAGAAACAGCATTGTATCCAACTGGATCAATGGATGGATGCTATACTTTTTGGTTTATCGTCATCATGTAGCCACAGAAGTATGTGAACGTATGGGAGGCCTCTCTTTTGGTATTCCACTGTATACATAACTGCAATATAATCATTAAACAGGTTAGTTTGATAATTATATTTCATGTATATACTTCCAATGTCATAGCCTCTTTTATTGGTAAAAGTGCACTAACCTGCTAGCGTCCGACCGAAGTAGTGTTCTTTAGTGATGTCGTGTATCAAACTGTCTAGCTTCATTTTAAACACACATGCAACAATCATTGGTTTGTATTCACTTTGAGTCCCGACATCGTCTTTGAAAGCATTTGCTATTTCAGGCCATTGTGCATTGCAAGTAAATGTGATGAATAAGTCTGGGTTACCATAATGTTGACAAATCGGCATGGCGTCAAGGTATAACTTTTTCATATATCTTGGGCTGCCTGCACATTTTTAGCGTTAGATATTTTCTTATTGTACGTAAATAAATGAGAAGTATTTATGAATTCAAAATAGTTAACTTGGAGTCGAACCTGTGTGCGTAGATGGGAGGATTTTTCTTCCCATGTCTGAAGCAGATACATCGCCTCGATTGAATGCATCATAGAGACCTTTATATATCTCAGAACGTAACTCATCTTGATGGTTTCGTAAGTAAGTGAGTCGATTCTACTCAACTGTTGAAATTGCATCAATGCAATAATGTTGTAAAGCCTTTCCAGAGCATATTAGAGTTTTCCCTTCATTGGCTCTATATTGAAGTCGAAAAAAATAATACTCACGTTGTGTGATATATCGACGTTTGATTCTTTTCGGTGCGTGTGTAAAGTCATATTCTATTGTTGTAAGACCATCTTCTATACTGTCGATGATAATGTCACGATCATTGAGATCGGGTGCAAAATCACCAGGTATCAGACCTGCTAGGTCGGTGTCAGTGGGTAATTCGTATCTATGATCCTTTTTAACTCGGGTGCCAGCTATGCGCAGTCGTAGTTGTTGGTTTCCAGGCTGGCCAAGTGCTGTTCTGATATGGCGAAAACTTTGCACCAAACAATTGTGTTGATCAAGCATTTCTTGAAGTCCTTGTATGATATGTGGCCGCAATTGGTGATTGTCGGAGGAGAAATTAGCTAATCGGTTTGTGACTTCCGAAGCTGGATCAAGTACATATAGTTGAGCATATTTCGGCCGCTCGCCTGCTGGTGGAAGTAATGACCCCATATAGTGGTAGTTTTCACCACATAGGATCGAAGAGTAAGGACCTCTGGAATTCAGCAAACGGGGATCTAGTTTTGTGCCAAATGATGTGAATGAAAAAGATGGATTATATGATCGAATTTCTTGTCTGAAATGGTTTGATTCCTCTCCCCCGTGTATATCTAATAAAGTGTCCAAGAATAATGGAGTTGGTTCGCTAACATTACCAGCGAACAACTGCTGAATAATTATTCTGCCGACGTAGATCAAAGTAGTTCGCTTAATTTTCTAGTGAACCACATGGTTCGCTAGAATAGGCTGCGAACCACTACCAATAATGTTTTGTGCTTTTCCCCGACATGTCTCAGCGCGGGATGCAGGGATAAAACTGCTAGTGGAAGTGGATCGCTGGACTAAGCAGCGAACCAGTCTTCAGTGAACCAAAATAAATGCCGAGAACCATTTCTTTGTTCATTCCACTCCTCTCTTCATTCTGTCAAAAAAAAAACAACAAAAGAACAACACATTTTTAGCAAAGAAGAAGAAGGTGACATTGAAAGGTATGGTTGTTTATGTTAGTTGTAACATCCGTTATATCATACTTCGAATATAGATTAGTGTTTTGCTTTATACTTGGTACATATATTTAGGTTTAGTTGTTATTAGCCCTTGACTGTAGATTAGTGTTTTGGTTTAATACTGGGTTGATATATTTAAGTTAGTTGTATTGATTGTTATTAGCCTTTGAATGTAGGTTAAGTATGTTTTGTTGAATGTAACATGGGTTAAATTAGCCTTTGAATGTAAATGAATTATGGATTAGTGTTTGAAAATAATATTTGGCTATTAATTCATATTTATGCTTCGAATTGTATGTAATTTTTGGTATTGTAAAATGCAGAAATGGGAAGAAATTTTAGAAAGTTCTACCTATTGTTTCGATGGAATGGTCCAAGATTTTAGAATAGTGTTGATTATGAAGGTGGTGAGGCAAGCACTGTCCGGATTGAGAGCAGATTTGGTTGGCATGATATCTTTAATATTTGCGAGGGACGATGTTGTATAGGTGGTCATCAAAGAGTATGCAAGATGGCATATCGGATGCCGGTTTACGACGGATATGCAATGCTGTACGAAGAATCTATCTTGTCTGATGATGATGGAATTAATATGCTGGATTTCGTACATGAAAACAGATTTCGAGTTGTCGAGGTATATATCGAACGGAAGAGGTAGGCGAATATGGTGGCGGTGCTAATACCGAACATGGTGAAGGTTCTGTTGGAGTTGGAGGTTCAGGTGGCTACGGAGGTTCGGATGACGTACCATGGCCAAGAGATGAAGCTAATGTTGCACCTGGTACAACGGTTGAAGATGATGGACAAGAATGGGCAGCATGGGGTGAAGAATGGGTCAACATAGGATCATCCGCACAAGGATCAGTTAGGAATGATGATCATTGTAGGGATAAGGCAACTCCTCCCCCCCCCCCCCCCCCACACAAGTGAGGAAACTGACATGGAAGATTTGGCGTCTGTGAGTAGTGAAGATGATGAAGGTGATGATGATGATGTCGATGAGGGGGTATTCGAGCCTCCCATACCTCACTACACGATGGTGCCACAACATCCTCTCTATGCTCACAACGACGATTCAGACTACCATCCTGTACCCATCTGGAGTCCTAATGCAGGTTTTGTGGTTGGGCAAACATTTGGAGGAAAGCCAAATGTTATGGATGCGTTGAAAGAATATGCAATGCAAAAGAGCTTCCAATATCGTGCTCACAAATCGGTCACTA